CTTGCCCAACAGCAGGGTGACTTTTCTCTGCAATACACTCATTTTGGGTGGGAAGAGAGTAGGCTTTAAAAAAAACTTGAAAAAAGAAAAAAGCTTGAAAGAAAACATGAGGTATTTAAACAAAAGGCATGAAAATAGAAAGTTCTTTTTTCATAATTGCCAGGAGGCCTGGGATTTGGGTGATTAAAAAATGGTCTTCTGCAGGAAGTCCTTTTTAGCAGAGTTGGAATTGCTTCAGTTTTTTAAATAGATGGAGGTAATTCCATCACCATTTGTTGCTAGGGTTTGTTGTCTCCCTTCCACTTCCACTAGCACTTCCTGCTGCCGATTTAGGACCACAGGCCTTTCCATCTTGTCTTCAAGTAAGGCAGCAATTATCAGTGTCAGACCACCTCTGTGAAATTTGTTCAATTTCACCAGAAGTGGAGAAGTCTCTGTAAAGTGTACCTCTTGCCTCTTCCTCGTTGTTCCTGCCCATGAACAGACAGCATCTTCCCTGTGGAATATACCAGAACAGACACCCAAAAGAGCAGGCTGTGAGTGTTTACACTTGCAGCAGAAGGTTTTTTTTCATATGCTAGAATCATAGAATCGTTGAATGGTTTGGGTTGGAAGGGACCTTAATGGTCATCTAGTTCAACCCTGCTGCCATGGACAGGGACACCTTCTGCTAGACCAGGTTGCTCAAAGCCCTATCCAACCTGGACTTGAACACTCCCAGGGATGGAGAATCTACACTTTCTCTGGGCAACCTGTTCCAGTGTCCCCCCCACCACAGTAGAGAATTTCTTCCTAATATCTAACCTAAAACCTGCCACCTTTCAGTTTAAAACCATTCCTCCTTGTCTTTCACATGCCGTTATGAAAAGTCCCTCCAACTTTTTTTTTACCTTTTAGGTACTGGAAGGTGCTATGTCTCCTTGTAACCTTCTCTTCTCTCAGCTGAACAATCCCAGTCTCTCAGCCTTTCTTTGCAGGAGAGGTAGAAGTGCTCACCTTTTATTTTAAGCAGTTGCAGTTTTGCATTTTTTTCTCCACGTTGTGCCATAGCTTTGCTCTCGCAAATGAGAAGTCTTTTCAAGTTTCCAGGAAGCCAGTGTTTCGAGAGAGAAGTGAGAACGAAGATACGGAAAGTTGTATTTTCTTCCAGGGCAACATATGATCTTGAAACCCTCAAAGAAGGCAGGATCCCTTATATGGAATCTAAGGACAAATGCAAACATGAAGAAAAAAAAGTATCTTTGCTGTAAATTGGTACCCAGAAAAGTTCCTGTTTAAGGGCCCACTGTGTGAAAAATTACCTGTAGCTTGCACGTCTCTCTAATACAGTCTAATTTCCATTTGGTGATATACACACCTCTGCAAACAGAGCAGTAGAGTTTTTTGAGTCTTAAATGCATCATTCTGCCTTTCTCTGGTTGGGCCATGACCAGGTGAATCATGGTGTTTTGTTGTGGTTTTTTTTTTTTTGGTTTTGTCTCTGAGTTTTCTCAAGAGGTTTTGGAGAGACTGACCTAGTTTCATTCAGCCTTTGGTTTCTAGTGGCATATTTTCTGAGTATTGCTTGAGGGTAAGGAAGATCCCAAAGGAACAAGTTAAAAAAAGAAATCCACAGTATTTACTGACAGTGGTGTAGTAAATAGAAGTGTGTTGTCAGGCACAGGAGTTTTAACAGTCAACTATGTCTGGCATTCCCTGAAAAAAATACATCTGCATGCTGCAGACGTGATGCTGAGTTGCTGTGTCCCTTTGTGGAAATTGTTCTAAAGGTAAGACTTTTCATTTTTGAGAAAAACTGTGAGCTTCTAGTCTACACTGTTTCTCAGAGCTATTATGTTTAATCTTATGTAAACCAGGAAATCAGGAGTTTTGGTAAAAGTATTAGGAGATTTGCTAACATCATGACTGTTTCCTTTGTTTCTGCTGAAAGAGAAATTTAAAATATTAAAACATTGTCTTCTGATATGGTTTAAAATGAAAAACAACATCAAAAAAAAAAAAAGCCTCTATGAAAACCCTGTGAAGGTTTTATTTCCTCTAGTTTTAATTACAGTACAAATTTTGCAGAACAACTTTAGTTGTGATTAGAAATAACAGAATCAGTTTGTGTAAACTTAACATCTGAGATCCAAGCAACAAGTCCTGGAAGGGCAGGTGCACTTTGGACAAACTCTACCTATTAATTTTCTTCAGACTTACAGTAATATTCTAGTATTCATACTATCTGGATATTCAAATCAGCATGAATATATTAACTATATTTTCTTTTTTGTGTAAACCCAAAAATGTTTGTATTTTCCGATTTCTGTAGAACAGCATCTTACACATCACACATTTTTTCTGTGTGGAAAAGAAAGGATTTTAGGCATTCTTTATCCTTGGGAATGTAATAACTAGAGAAGTGGCAGTTGAATCTGATTATCTTGTGTGCTTATAGGCATATGTTGTAGCAGGTCAGAGATACTTATATCATTCTGAGTTATTTAAGGAAGTTTGTAGTTAACTAAAATAGAATAAGCCACCTTGGTGTTTTGTAAATGTTTGGCTAATTTGAAGATGTTATGCCAAGATATGTTCCTGGGTGTTATCTTAATTTTTTGTTTTGAATAGTCTAAACAGTTACTTTAACTGTCAGCATCCCTTGGACACTGCAGAGCTTAGCACCATTAGCAGTCGCCAAACGTCTGGCTTTCAGGCTCAGGCTGTTTGATTTATCAGGTGGCAGAATGTATTCTTATCTGTTTTTCTTCTGTAAAGATAAGTAGCCAGGATAGTGTTCAACATGAGTGTGTTGTAAAGCAAAAATGTGACTTTCATGTGAGTGGTTCACTCTTCTCATGCAAAAGGGGTTTAATTACTGTCACCTGAAGGAGCTTGCAGTTAAAATAAAGAAAGTTTGTTCTAACTCATTTTGTTTATTAATAAAAATTAATTTTTTTTTTCAGTTCTTGAAAGAACTCTTGAAGTGGTTTGGATACCCTCTGAAAATTAAATTCAGTGCTGACACAATACAGACATAAAATACCTACCTTTGTGGTAAGGTATATGAAATGAACAAGTTTATAATATTCCAGTGCAGAAAAAGCAGCTTTGCACTGATTAAGATAAGAATGATCAAAATGCTGTTTCTCCTTCCAGCAACAGATGGCTTCTGTGAAAGCCTTTGATTCACAGAAATAGTACCTCTTTTGTTGTGGGTGAGGGCAGAATGAATCTTGGAAGCTGTTTGTTTCCTTTTCACACTTCTGCTTTTATGGAATGTGCTTAGATGGCAAGTATAGGCAGGCAGTGGCTCTTGAGCAGTTTTTTGCATATCAAGACTAGCAAATACCAGTTAATAGTGCAGGGAATGATGGAGCATTGAAAGCCTTTGTCCGTGTGCTTTATAGGGTCACTTGAACAATTAACTCAATTTTCATTCTCACAGCTTCTGTTGGAAATTTTGAGTGACAGCTGCTAAACCACTGAGACTATGGAAGTGTCACTTAATGCCACATGGGTTATACCTTTCAGGATGTCACATGTAGCTATTTGTAAACCTTTACTGTTACCTTGTGGTGGGCTGACCTTGGCTGGATGCCAGGTGCCCACCATGCTGTTTTATCACTTACCTCCTCAGCAGGAGGGGGCTGTGAGAAGAGAATAAGATGGAATAAATCTCATGGATCAAGGTACAGGCAGTTTCATGAAGTAAAAGCTAAAGCCGCATGCGGGAACAAAGGAAAACAAAAACTTCATTCTCTATTTCCCATCAGCGGGTGACGTCCTGCTCAGGAAGTCACATATAATAATGAGAGCGTGCACACACCTGACCGCACCCCTACCTTTCTTTCACTGCTGAGCAGACACCCTGGTATGGAATGTCTCTTTGGTTAGCTTGGCTCAGCTGTCCTGGCTGTGTTCCCTCTCCACATCTTGCCCACCCCCAGAATACTGGCCCTTGAGGGGGGATGTTGCAGACATTGATGCTGTGCGAGCCTGCCCAGCAGTGCCCAAAGCACTGGTGTGTTACCAGCACCTTCCTGGCCCCCAGCACACAGTGCCGTGAGGGGCTGCTCTGTGGGAAGTTAACTTCACCCCAGATAGATACAGTACATACCTTTTGGGTGCATATATGATTTCCATGCCAATACTCTGGGTACCCTTCAAACACCGTTGACTGTCAGGGACGTACACATGTGCAAACAGAGAGCATGAGTCTTGTGCTGACTCCTATCTGTACATATATGTGTGGAAAGAGAAATTACACAGTCGTTTTGGGAATCAGAGCTGTTGTTAGCAGGAAAAAGTAAAGTTTAGAAGAAGGGTAGGTGTGGCTAAACCAAAGATAATGAAAGTTTCAGTTCTATCAGAGAAATAAAACTGATAGAACTGATAAAGAAGATAAAACAAACATAAGGGAGATCGGCCTGATGCTACGGAGAGACTTTCTGTGAAGCGTTAAAATATGGAGGGGATTTGCAAAGATGGGTAAGGGAAGAGATATAATGTATAATATAAAGCATGCTTAAAAATTATTTGAAAGTCAGACGTTGGCAACAGAAAATTATAACAGAGATATCAGGCATCAAGAGGATAGATTGTGTCTGTTTTAGGAAACTTGCGTTGTACCAGATAAATTAGTGTTTTGAGAGTAATGATTCATATGACCTTTGTAGAAACTCGCTTGATCAAAAGTACTTGACTGCTTTCAGTGCATTTCTTCCTGTGTGAATTAATGTTTTCTAAAGAGGGAAAAAAAAAATCTTGCTTTTGTCTTAAGATAGCATAAATTTTTGAAACTATTATTCATCATGTTTTTAGGGCTATATCCATGAAAATAAAAATGTGAAATCAGTCTCTTGTTTATAAGAGGAGGAGACTCTCTCCTATAAAGGAGGAGACTTTCTCCTCTTCGTGTTATGGTTGGCGTAAGGGAAAACTTTCTTACTTTTACATATTTATTGCGTTCCTGGTTTTTTGTGGTGATTTTCACAGAGGTGAATTTTCTTCTTTTCCAGAACCCTGTCAAGAAAATTCCAGATTCTCATGAAATTACACTCCAACATGGAACAAAGACAGTAAGTGATAATACATTTTCAGCACTTCATGGTTTTCTAGAACTGTCAGTCTATGAAATAAGTTAACAAATATTTATTATCAACTGAAGTTCAAAAAACAAATTTTTTTTCCTTAATCCATTATTTTAGTCTACGTCTTTTCTTTGTGCAACTGAAGAGTGTGTTTTAGGACCACCTCTTCAATTTCTTATAATAACCCAAATTTAGCTCCATCTGACTCATCTGTAGTCTCATATTCATCAGTTATACTTTCTGTAATTGTTAGAATTTCTCTTCTAGTCTAGACTTTCCTAATGTAGGGTCTAACCTAGACCTTTCTTTGGTCATGGATTTAAAAGAGAATGTTATTGTTGAAGTTTCTAAGACTTAGCAGCTGAGTACTTCAACTTCATTCTTCTTGAATCTTTCTGTGCCTTTTATGTACAATTCTCAGTTTCTTGAAACCTTGTCTTTCACTGCATCTTTTCTCCAGTAGTATCTGCAAATTTCTCCAATATTACCACCATCTCCTTTGCTGTCTTTTAAAAAACCGCTATCCAGGTTGGAACTATCATTTCCTTGCTCTGTATGTTTTATCTCTGAGTAATCTCATCTTCCAACACAAATTCAACTGCTTTTATGTGCTGATTGATAGAATGTTTTTATAGAGTGGAATTTTTTCTCTGGCCATGAATAGCTCTCAATCTATTCCCCAGTTCTTTCATCATGTTCTTCATTTGTCATTAAAAAAGACGCTACTGCTGTTTGCTCTCTTTGTTTTGGTCCATGACATAAGCTTTAATGAGAAAATAATATTAGAATCCCTTTTATTGTTATTACATTCATGTGAAAGCACTGTCAAGTGGTTAGTAGAAATCTTACTTGTCTCATTCATGAGAATTTTTTGGGGGAGGAGAAAATAGAGAAAGAAAAACAAGGCAAATATTTGAGGAAAATGCTTTTTTGTGAGGTTTTAAACAGTCTTAAGAAATGTGTATGGGTATGTTTCCCTTATTTTATATAATTAATATGATCACAGACTCACTAGTTTTACATTAAAAAATAGTAATAAATATTTAAAACAATAAAATTAAAATAACATATATAAAAATAAATCAAGCATTTATGAATTTATATTCTGAATTTTTAACAATTGATTTATTAGTATTTATCAGACATTTAAAAGGAGTTTTCTGGGAGTTTAAATTTAACAGGAAAGATGAATTTTTTTAATAAGCTTTCAGAAATATAATTTTTTTAGAAGAGTCAATTCACTAATTTGGCATCAAACTTTGTGATCTGTCTTGAAATGTGGAGACGTGACAAGGCTTACTCGTTTGCTTTATCATAGAGCTAGGCATACAGATGTAGAGGGAGAAGAGGAAAGAAGTAACAAGTGTGTTATAAGTGAAAATAGAATATTATTCTCTTTTGAGACCTGTAAAAGACCTGCATTGTATTACACTAAAACAGAGGGGATTTTTCTACATACAGTGCACGCAACTTCTTTGCTTACTAATTTCTATGAATACCGTTGGTCTTCAGAGTAGTGTACTAGTGCAAACCAGTTTCCCTGTCATGTGAAATACTTTAATACATTTCCTAACAAACTTTGTTAGGTAAAATGTTTTGAATTATACTTTGCTATATTAAATCCGTAAATCTTTTCATAGCTTCTTAAAGAATAAGCTCATGTTATTTATAACTAAAAAGCTTTTTAAAGTGGAATTTTCTTTTTGGGAAGATTTCTGAGGTATTTTGACTGCAGGAGAATGGAGCTGTCATCACCTACAACGGAGGTGAATTGTGATGTGGGGGTATATATAGAACAGTTTTGTTGGACTGGATGCAGTAGATGAAACATATCCTTGAAAAAAAGCACTCTTCTGTAGAAGGGATATATTTTTGGGAGGTTTTTTGGGGGGTTTTTTGTTTGTTAGTTTGTTTTAGAATAGTGAGGTTACTTGCCCGTGACCCTAGACACCCATAAGGATGGGAGCAACTCTGTATCTTGATTTTGGTGTTTCAACTCAGTGTTTTTAAATACAATCTTCTCCTTATGTTCATGGAGTGTACCATATTTCAGCTAAACTTATGTATCCCCTCTGTACCTCTTCAATCTAGTGAATGTGGATTTGATGATGACTCTATTCCTGTGCAGCTGAGAAGTCTCAGAAAAGATTTCCCAAGCTGGAGAGCCTTTCCAGAAACCTGATTAATTTCCTGGTTGTCTTGCTTATACAGTATAATAGGAGTTACTGTTCCCAGTGAAACTTCAGAGATATATGTATATTTTTTTCTCCTGGCACATTTTATACATAGGTGGGTACGAAAAAGAATATATAATCAGAAGTATTGTGAACATTTTGCTTTCTGTAACGTATCACAGCTGCTCCCTCATATAGTAGTTACTGTAGAATAGAACACTCGAGTATTCTGATTAATCTTGAGATGCCCAGTTTTTCTGCATGTCAGAAATCATGAATGAAGTGACTAGGGTTTAAAGTTTCCATTGGAGTAGTAAAAGAGGCATATATTCTTTTTTTGGAAACACAGAAGAGGTTACATCTGTTTTATTTGAAAATCAAGTAGTGGTGACATTATCACTACATGGAGTTTAATATGTTCTTAGGGATAGCACAAAGCATCACATTTAAATATTTCATTTAAGGAAGTAAAAAGAAAAATGTTGAACCTATTCATTGTTATGTATTTTTGGAGACACTGCATTAGGGCATTTGATCATCTTTTGCATTTTTTAGAATAATGACGTTTTAGACCTCATTCAGACCTCTTCTGTAAAAGATAAGATTTCTGCAAGTGAACACCTCTAAATTAGAATGCAGGACATTTGGATTGAGGAGTCAGTTGCCTGGTGAATAGGAGCTTCATTTCTACCACATCTTGGTTTTCTTAAAAGTACTATTTTCAAACTGTTTGCTATACAAGAGCATTGTATGTTTGAAATACTGTGAGGTGCCTGTGTTACAGAATCACAGAATATTCTGAGTTGGAGGGACCCACAAGTGTCATCGAGTCCAACCCCTGGCCTGCACAAGACCATCCAAGACTCTCCAAGAGTCACACCATGCGCCTGAGAGTATCATCCAAACATTTCTTGGACTCTGTCAGGCCTGGTGCTGTGACCACTTCCTGGGGAGCCTGTTCCAGTGCCCAACCACCCTCTGGGTGAAGAACCTTTTTCTAATATCCAAACTAAATCTCCCCTGACATAACTTCAGGCCATCATTCCTTTGGCTTCTGTCACTGGTCACCAGGGGGAAGAGATCAGTGCCTGCCCTTTCACTTTCCCTCATGAGGAAGCTGAGGAGTCTCCCCTCAGTATCCTCTACCCAGGTTGAACAGGTGACCTCAGTCCCTCCTCATATAGCTTCCTCTCTAGACTCTCCACATCCTTGTTGCCCTCTTTGGACACTCTCTAATAGCGTAATATATTTGTTACGTTGTGGTGCCCCAAAGTGCACAGAAGACTCGAGGTGAGGCTGCTCCAGTGCAGAGCAGAGTGGGACAAATCCCCTCCCTCGACTGGCTGGTGATGCTTTGCCTGATGCCACCCAGGACACAGTTGGCCCTTCTGGCTGCCAGGGCACTGCTGACTCAGATTGAACTTGCCATTGACCAGGACCCCACTTCCAGGTCCCTTTCCACTGTGCTGCTCTCCAGCCTCTCGTTTTCCAGTCTGTACACACAACTAGGGTTGCCCTGTCCCAGCAGAACCTAGCACTTGCCCTTGTTAAAGGTCATACAGTTTGTGACTGCCCATTGCCATTTGTCGAGGTATCTGCAGGTCCTCTTTGCCATGGGGAGAGTCAGCAGCTCCTCCCAATTTTGTATCATCTACAAATGTACGTAGTATTCGAGTCCTGATTATAAGTCATTAATGAAGATACCCAGGAGAACTGGGCCAAGGATGGAGCCCTGCAAATGCTGCTAGTGACAGGTCACCAGTCTGGTGTTACCCTATTCACTATTACCCTCTGTGCTCGACCCGTGAGCCAGTTGCTCACCCACCACATGATGTGTTTATCCAGCTGTGGGCTTGACATGTTGTCCAGAAGGATCCTATGAGAGACAGTATCAAAAGTTTTACTGAAATCCAAAAACGTGACGTCAACTGCCTTCCCTTGATCAAGGTGGGTTACCTTGTCATGAAGGGAACAGATTTGAAAAACAGGACTTTCCTCTCATGAAGCTGTGCTGGCTGTGACTGATGACTGTGTGGTCCATCAAATGTTTTTCAGTTCCTCCCAGAATAATATTTTCCATGATTTTACCCTGTAATTCTGGGGTCCTTCTTGCCATTCTTGAAAATCAGGACAATGTTCATTCACCAGGTTCCAACCAGCTGGGACCTCTCTGGATTCCCAAGACTGTTCAAAAATCATTGTGAGGGGTTTTGTGATGACATCAGACAACTCCTTAGGAATTCTGGGAAGAATCCCATCAGACTCCATAGATTTGTAGGATTGCAGCTGGAGCAGCAGATCCTGCACAATTTCAGTGTCAGCTGAGATCATTCTTGCAGTCATGGTCCTCCAGCTTGGGGCATTCCACCGCCTTTTGCCATTAATGTACTTGGAAAAACTCTTTTTATTGTCCCTCACATTTCTGACAGCTTCAATTCCAATTGAGCTTCTGCAGCACAGATTTTCTCTCTACAGTAACAAGCAGCATCTTTATATCCTTCCCATGTCACTTGACCTTGCTTCCACTGGGCATACACCTACCTCTTTTGCCTTATATCCAAGAGAAGATTCCTGTTCAGCCAAGCCAGCCTTCTGCCTTGCTTGTTTGACTTCTGACATTTGGAAATTGCTGCTCCTGTGCCCTTAGGAGGTGATGTTTAAAAAGGGACCAGCAGTGACCTTGTCAGGAGCAGCATGAAACTTAAGGAAAAGATGATTAAGAAGTGAGTCTCTTATAAAATAAGAAATAAGTAGGTGAACCTTTTCTATGTGAAACTGGAAAAAGAAGACTCAAAAGAAGCCCATGCTATTTCATTTAAGGGAAATCTAAATTTTAGCAAAGCAAATTGTCCATCTTCGAGAATATATTCTGTTCATACATGCTGTTTTTATTGGAACAGTTGTTTTCTTTAGGTTACTTTTTTAACTGGGCTATTTCATGCTAAATTCCATGTTTTAAAATGTGTTCTGTGGGAACTATTCAACAGTTTACGTAAGTTTTAGAAGTCTCCATAATACATTGTATATACTAAAGCTTAGAAAAAAAAAGTACAGTAGTAGACTGATATATCGTTGAGACAAGACTTTTTTGGTGGTACTTCTACATGTCTGCATTAAAACACAAGGACTGTCATTACTTTTCATATATATGTGTGAAGAAGATACCTACGTATAGATAAGCATCCATATGTGCAAGTTATTGTAATTTTTGTACCTGAGGTGTTTTTTTTGTTTTGTTTTGTTTTGTTTTTTTTTGGTAACACCTGAAGAATTGTAAAAAAAAAAATATTATAGAAAAAATAAAGAGCTTCAGTGATTATAATTTTTTTTTTTCTGTACAGGTTTCTGCTTTGGGGTTGGACCCTTCAGGTGCTCGTTTGATAACCGGTGGATATGACTATGATGTAAAATTTTGGGACTTTGCTGGAATGGATGCCTCTCTCCAAGCTTTTCGGTCACTCCAGCCTTGTGAATGGTAAGCTTGAAGACTGTCTTTTACACTTAAGAATGTACCTATGTTAAGCTCCTGGTAGAATGCACAAAAGCCTTGTAAGATAGCTTGTTTGAAAGGCTCTTGTACATACCACTGTATGTTTTGTAGTAAATGGAATGTGAACCTAGGAACTTGTCTATGTATGTCTTTTCATGCTTTTTCTGATGACTTGCATGTTTTCCCATTTTAGAAAGCTGCAGGTGAATTTGCAGATGAAATTTTTAATAGCACATCAGAAAATTACCCTCTCAAAGAGATACGTTTACTTTCATAGTTGTAACTGAAGTTATTAGAATACACTTTCTATAGTAGTCTGCTTATATAAAATTAATTAGGAAGAGAAGAAAGTTAAAGGAATTGACCCCTTTGTGGAGAGTCTCTCTAGTTGCTGTCAGGATTTCTGAGGGGGAGGGTGTTTTATCTAATTGTCACGAAGTCCTTTATTTCAGCACTGGTCCTTTGCATTACAGTGATCATTGAATAGCTACATAATGTGAAATACTGTCTTTTTTTAAAGAAAAGAAGCTATATATTTATTTACATTTACTTGTATATTTTTGCGTATGCTCATTAAAGAGAGTAATTTCCATTTTCTCCGTACTGTTCACTTGTAATTTAAAAACTGAAAAGAGTTCATTTGCTTATTCCAGAGAACTGGAATGCAGAACTCTCAGCAGTAGTGCACAGTGAACTTTCAGATAGATGCATTCATAAAATAAACCACATTTCTTTAGCAAGGTACTTTCTAATGTCTGAGAAATCTAGTGCACTTTATGCAATACTTTGGTATGCTTTAAAAAGGGATTGTAATTTATTATGCACGGAGTAAGTAGTACTTTGAATGTCTATTTTTAATCATTATTGTCTTCAAAAGCTACAGCCAAATTTTGGTCAGTTTGGATGGATAGAATGTGTACAACTGACTATAGATATGCCAAGAATCTAGAAAATGAAAGATGAGAAAAAATTAAGGTTCTTATCCTGAAGAGGAGCAAAATAGGAAGAAATTCTGCTCTGCTTCTGAAGTGTGAAAAATCAGGAAAATAAAAAGTGTGCTTTGATGCATTATGCAATTATAATCTCTTTGACAGACTTGACTTTTTGTAATAAACCAACAAATGGCACATTTACTTTGAAAACATAAGTAAACATGCCACTTTGAAAAAAAATAATAAAATAAAAGTCTCTAAATGTGAAATCACATTCAGACTTTTCTGGCATCAGTTTCCTTTACATGATTAGTTAGCAGGATATAAATGATATTTTCCTTCCCTCTGCCGTAACTGGGCAAAAAAAAAGAGGTGACAGTCTTTACTCCCACAGCAGGAGATGATTTTAATGAAACATTTTCAAACTGAGTAGAGAAGTGCATTTGAATTTAGTTGTACTTGGTAGCAATGGTATGACATAAATATAGTATAAAAACCACAAGCACACTGTACGTGACTGTCCCATCCTAAGTATAGCATGCAGAGAGCCCCTGGTGGTCTAGTGGTTAAGGACGCGGCGCTGTCACCGCAGAGACCCGGGTTCGATTCCCAGTCGGGGCCCCTCCCCGGGCAGATGGAGCTCGTTAGCCCGTAAGGCAATCCATCTATGTCCTGAGGACCTCGTGCCACCATCCAAGCTCGCTTGGCCCCGGCAGATGAACCTCAGGATTAAAGGGTGGGCTCAGTTCCGCGCACACTGTGTCTCACCTAAAAATTCCAATGCGCAGGCTGGAAGGTGTAAAGACCTTCCCCAGTTCTTTGTTCGTGAAGACTGGCCATTACATAGCTTGCAGAAAAATCAGCAACCTCCTTTTGGCAAAAAGTTAGGGTAGAGTTTGAGCTTAAAATGTATGTTGTCCCACTGTTCATTTAGTGTGCTACACGAATTCACAAGTATTTTTATATGTGTTCTTTGTGAAATTCTTGTGGTTTGGGTATGTGGATGTATAAATACAGTACATAAAACATAAATTGGAAACAATATTAAAAATAGAATTGACTGATATGTTACAAGTCTTATGTATTAATTTTGAGTTTTAAAAAATCTATTATTTAAGTACTATTTCTTTATCTTTTTGTAAACATAAAAATAGAACTATATCTAAATTTGCTGAAAAGATTCACATTCAAGAAAAAGTTCTTTGATGCTGACATTGAGGCATGCTGGTAAACACTATGGGGAATATTATATAACTTGCATCCAGGTATATATATATATCATTTAGTTACTTTTTTTTCACCACAGAGTTTATTGCAAGGAGTATTAGCATTCACAAACTTGAATTTGAAAAAATTCTGAGGAGTTCTGCTATGGAAATTTTAGGTATTAGCAGAAATCCAGATCTGGAGCCATAAATTTCATTTCATTTTAAGAATGAAAGAGCCTGAGATCCATATTGTCAAGGCTCCATTTTGTAGCATAATATCGGCTTACTCTGTAAATTTCTTCTTGGATTTGGGATGTAAAGTTAAAAAAAAAAGGAGCCTGACAAAAAACTAATACCTCCAACCACACTTCTGTGTTAAAGGCAAAAGCTAGTGTAAGACAAAGCTGTTACACGTGTAGAGAAAGTATTTATGTGTCCTGATTCTACCCATGCACGTAACTCTGTTCTGCAGGTCCTTACAGAAAGTGCTGTGCACATTTGGTGGCTTTAAATGAAAATGACTAGGATTAATGCTATTAAAAATAACTGTTTTTATAAGTTTCCGAAGATTTTTGCTATAGCATTAATAAGAACCAAAAATATTTTCTTAGAGAACTGCCTCTGCAGAGCCTCACTCTTGGTCATGCTCCAGTAAACATCTGAAAAGTGGTAACTTCTGGGACTTTGCAAATATTCTGCTAATAGATGCAATTTTTGGACATAATTTTAAGTGTCATATTGCACAGTCACGAAGGTGCTTGTTTTTTTTTTTTTTTTCCTTTAGGTAAAAGTTATGGAAATCTTGTCTCTCATGACAAGACTGATTTGGTAAATTATTGGTTGTGTTACATTGTGCTAGGTTCTGTAAAATCAGTTGGTTTTCCTTGTTAGGACAATATTGTTCTAATTATGATGAGTGCCATGTTAATGGTATTAATGTCTGTAGTTTTATTTTCAGCATTTCAGTGTCTGAAAACAGATTTTTCAGAAGAGCCTATGGACCTTTACATTTTGTGGATTCTTTCAGAAATCAGATGTTACTTCTGAGATGTTTGATCATATTTAGCAGTGAGATTCCCTTCTTACATGAGACATACATCAAGTGAAAGTAGTCTTTCAGTCTAGTTTTGAATGTTTATTTTTATTTCTTAGTTTTTCTTACATTTCAGCAGTGATAAGTGCAGAACATGAACCTGTGCCTTGGACTGTCTTTAGACAATTTCGGCATTGCAGTATGAGAAATATAATTATTGATAGTACCTGAAAAGTACTTAATTCTCCATGCAGTATTCAGATGGGGTTCATGAATGTTTGTGATTGGGCAAGAGCACTCTGAAGTAGAACTGAGGAAAATTTTTAATTCCTGAATTTGTTCTGCAAAAGCTGAATCTGATGGATTCCTTAATCTAGGTTTATCAGCCATCTGCAGAGAATATTCTGGACTTTAGGTATTGTTTCTGCTGTTTGAGTTTCTTTTCAGTTTCTTTCAGTGCCCTCTCTGAGCTTAATGTAGCTGGCCATCTGTCCCCTCTTCTGAGAAAGTATTCATTTTTGCTCTTGAGGATCAGGGTGCTTTTTCAGACATTGCCTGTGATCTATTTTGGAAATTCCCAGATTTGAGTGTCTCCTTTCTACCAAACATCAGAGTTTATAATGCTCCATCCAATTTGGCTGTCAGTTGGTATTACATAATAGGGTGCTTGAAGCAATTTCTGGCTTTTGAATTATAATGTAATCAGTTTTGCTAAACATTTTTTGAAAAAGAAACTTACACTTAGTTTACATTACTATGATCAGTGCAGAACTTTTAAAAGAAGTATTACAATGTTTTAAGTGTTTTGTGTAGTAACTCATGATTTGAGGCAAGATTTAACAGATAATAGGTAGTGCTGAGTCAATCGTGAAGTAATTACTGTGTAAGATTTGAAATGTTAAATTATAAAGTTACAAGTTGCATAGTTGGTTTTGTCGATCATCTGAATGTTACTGGTGGGAAATACTGTTTTAAAATAGTTTCCTGAAAGTTACTAGGATTCGAATGCACCTAGTAATGTTCTTAGCCAAAAGGGAGATATTTCTTTGGGGACGCTTTGGTTACCATGGGAATCCAAATCTAGATGGCAGATGCATTCCAGTCCTGCACTTGAGATTAATCTAGCTGCAGAGCTGAAGCATTAACATAAAGTAATGTTATGGTGCACATTCTTTTAATGTGCCAGGATATAAATTCTGGCAGGTGTGAAGTGGATAGACTGCTTTGCATTCTTTTCTGTCCTTGTAATGGAGTATAGGGGATCAAAGGGATATCTGCTTCAGATACAGCAAGAGCTGTGAACTTTGTTCATATAGCAGAATGATGAGAGAAGATGATAAAGCTGGAAATGGGCTTCTTGTTCATCAGTCAACTTTCCACTTTCAGTTTAATTTTGTCGTCTCATTATTATTCTGTGATTTCTGTCCTAGGTTTTCTCTGTCAACAGAAGATGAACATGAGAACATTGTCACCTAAGACATCATAGACTAGTCAGATTGTTATGTACTGTCATGTTTCCTGTGGTGATGATATATTTAACTTTATCTTACAGTTTGATGAAACTGAAGCCCTGAACATAGAAAAAGTTTCAAAAATGTTGGGCTATGACTAATTTCCTGGTGTACAATGTACAATGGATTTTAATGTATGACTACAACATCCCTTTATAGTAATTTATAAATTACTGTAATTCCACATTTTACTTTTGAAAAGATGAAAATAGATTTTCAGCCCTGAATAGGTAAATCTGACACATGCTATTTTTCGATTGGAGTTATAATAGCGTTCCTAAAGTTAAATATATTTGCCAGAAATTATATTTTAGGTTTTTGATGAGCTGTATGGTTGAAGGAAACATGACCCATGTGCACAGACAGAGGAATAAAAAGCTTTTTAATCCATTAATGTAAGATTTTTTGCCCCCACCTTTTTGATACAGGAGTGTACATGGGTCTGTTTCTGCAATATGTTTTCTCACCATTGACAGTGTTGTTTTACTGTCTACAGGAATGTTAACTGAAATGTTTTGGTTCTTTCTTTTTTTTTTTTCTTTTTTCTTTTTAGTCACCAAATCAAAGCCTTGCAGTATAGCAGCACAGGAGATGTCATTCTCGTTGTCTCTGGTAACTCTCAGGCAAAAGTTCTTGACAGAGATGGCTTCCCAGTAATGGAATGCATAAAAGGAGACCAGTACATTGTGGATATGACAAACACAAAGGTAAAGTAAAAAATAATTGAATGCCAGAAGCCTGCCCTTTCTCTAGGGTGTGATAGTCTCATGTATTGGTACATGCTGGAAGCTGTGGGACCTTTGGCCATGGAGGTTTGGAAGACCCAGCTGGACAAAGCCGTAGCTGACCTGATCTGGTGGTGGCTGTGATCTGTCTTTGAGCAGGAGGTTGACCCAGATGAACTGTAGAGGTGCCTTCCAGCTAATGTTACTGTGATGCTAGAACAAATTCATCTGTTATAAAGTGTATCCTGCAAAAGTTGTCAGCTTTCCCCATAGCCTTGTCTAACCAATATTAAAAAGACACAACAAAGCCAAAAAACAAAGAAAGCACCCAGCTATCGATCTGGTTCAGACTCTTGCTTTCTTGTACCCTCCATTCTTTTTTGCTGAGTCTAGACCCCTTTCAAGGCAGGGGTTGGAAGTGGTTGTTCGGTTGCATGCCCTGAGTGTAAGACTTATAAGCAACAATGTGTGTATTTTCAGTGCTAGTTAAAAGTGCAGATGGAGAAGGGTTCGTTCATAGTTTTGAAGTACTTTAACCACAGTTGATTGTGTTTTGACCACTTTGCCCTTGTATTTCCACAAACTGTGATACAAGGGTTCTGTTTATCTAGATGATTTCAATTCAGGTCAGTTTCTTAAATAGCTTAAGCCTAAAAAGTAGTGATAAAATCTACTGCTTAAACTCATGATAAAGTTGATTTATTTATTACTTGTAAAATGTATTGCCAAAGAACTAGGCTAAATGGTGTTTTGCCTAAAGCTTTTCTTGTCAGATGACTATTTCTTTTGGCTAGTAATACATATATAAACCCATCAAATACTAACATCTGCTTTAGTTCTTGTTTGCTTAAAAACAACTCACATTTTCTTTTTCTTGTAAATGTCTAGAATTCCAGTGTATTGTGGTCCAACAGTCAAAATGCTAAAATATTTGTTATAATGCCTCATTAACTTCTCAGTATTTCTCTCCACATTCGTGCTTAAAACAAACTGAAGTGATTCCAGCATTGTAGGAGTAGTTTCCAAATTTCTCTTTGAACATAGTCAATCAGCATGTGCCTGTACTTCAAAGAAGTAAAGCCAACTGGACAATATATAATTCAGTAATGTGGTTATATTCATAGTCACCATAATGACAGTTGATTACTTTCCATAAAATCCTTAACTTCTGTTTTTCCGATGCTAGTGAACTGCACCTGACTAGTCACTTTGCAGCTTTAATATTTTATGAAAAGTTCACCTGAGGTTAAATCCATCTTGACTCTGGAATTCTGTTTCCTATGTTTTCCTGAACAAGAGCTTTGGCTAGTTTGGATTTACATTGAGTATGTGTATTGTATCACCCTGGTTGTTATTGTTATTCCTGTTATATTTCTGTAGCTTGAAAAAATTTGTGTGACACTATATTGATGCCTATTTTTTCATCCTTTCTCTGCATTACAATTCTCCCAAGAAAAAAAGAAGTACGATTCTGTACCATTTTCAGAACGAAAAAGTACAAGCTTTCAAGAATGTCAGGGTTTTTCTAATTCAGAAATGAAAGGAAGCACGGATGAAATGGATAGAGTACATAAAATCTGTTAAATCATTGTGATGTCAGTGAGAAGGTCCCTCAGCTTTCATATGATTCCATTTCAAGGATTTGGAGTAAAATTTATAAAACCTTGTAAGACAGTTTACAAATCCTTGTAAGACCTTTTTGTGTTTATTTTCATAGGGTCACACAGCAATGCTCAATTCAGGCTGTTGGCATCCAAAAATAAAGGAAGAATTTTTGACATGTTCTAATGATGGGTAAGTCGTGAGGTCTGTGTTTGTCAGTGGTTTTTGAGAGGCTTGTTTAGCTTTTGTGGTTTTTTTTTACTGTGCCCTAATTTGCTTTAAATATCATTCTTTTTAATCTTGAGCAAGTGCTCAGGACAATGCTAGGTGAGATCTTGAAGCAAATATACTTCTTTTTCCTCCAAATAATAAATGTATTTTATCTGTATTATTTTAGTTCCATAATTCAAAATTACTTTTAATGATATTTCATGAAAGTTCATAGTTAATTGTTTTTACAAAAATTTGTGGACATACCCAGTATTTTTTTGGAGCAGAATAATTCCTTTGGAGACACTCAGTATAGCTGAATTCACTAGGAAGATTGAGTATTTCAATTAGAATTCAAGTGGAATTCAAGTTTCATGTTAAGTGTAATTGAATATTTGATGGATGTTGTTTGAAAAGTGTCAAACAGACTGTTGGAAATTATTTTGTGGCTTAAGCCTTGATCTTTGTGGTTAGAATCAAACAGCAAAATGTCACTGTGGCAAATGCATTAATTAAGTTACTGCAGCTCTTAGTAGCAAGTTCATTAATAATTTTTTTACTGATGTTTCAAATATGCAAGCTCCTTTACACCAGAGTGACAGAGAGGGGAAGGATTGAATTTCTCCACTAATGTATCTGTAGTGTAGTCCACTCTAAACAGAAGACTTCAGTTCTCAATTACTTTAAATAATAGATTTGGGGTTTTTTCCCCCAAATAATTGGAAATTAATAGGAAAATTCAGTTTCTGATAAGACTGTAGGAGAAACAAAAACGGAATAAATACTACATTGTGCTTTATGGGGAAGTTAATTGTAAAAATACACTTAAGCCAACTATATATTTTTTCCAGCTTGTAGACACAAAGATATTACTTCCATAGTAGAAAATATTATTATTAAATGCTATAATCCCTACTTTAAGCAGTTTGTTGATATTTTGAATATGGCTAGACATTAGTACAGTTTCTTTATTAGGTTGAATAAGTTTGTAGATCATGAAAAACAAATGAAGACATTATAAATTATAAAGATTGCCTAATTTTGTCCTGTCTAAACAAGTTCCAAACTAATATAACAAATGGGGATTCAGTACATCCCTGATGCTTGAATTGAATTGTCAGTTGAAATGGTCTGGTCAAGTAAGTGAAATCCAGATAACCACTACTATAATGGCCAGTCTCTTCGCGATCGAAGAACCGGGGAAGGTCTTTACACCTTCCAGCCTGCGCATTGGATTTTTTAGGTGAGACACAGTGTGCGCAGAACTGAGCCCACCCTTTAATCCTGGGGTTCATCTGCCGGGGCCAAGCACGCTTGGACAGTGGCAGCGAGGTCCTCAGGACGTAGATGGATTGCCTTACAGGGCTAACGAGCTCCATCTGCCCAGGGAGTGTCCTAACCGGGAATCGAACCCAGATCTCAGCGTTGACAACGCTGTGGTTTAGCCACTGCATCACCAGGGACACTCATCACTACTATAAGTGGCTGCATAATTGCATTTTCAGAGACATTACATGGCTGACATTACAAAAAAAGTATTTTACACCCATTGCATTTTACTTCGAGCTTGTGACAAGTCTTCCCAGAATTTGGATATGTCATGTGAAAAGAAATAATTTGGATTGCTTAATTTGCAAAACAGGTCTTAAAAGTTAAAAACAGTATTCCATCTGTGAAAAACTACAAAGTCTCCAAAGTTTGATTAGTAATTCCTCTCAAGACTGGAGCTGTAAACTAGAAATTAAAAGAATAGTGCCAGTGGGAAGGGACTACAATGATCATCCAACTGCCAGACCAATACAGGACTGTCCAGACGTTAAAGCCTGTTACTAAGGGCATTAATTGTATTACTGGCAATCAGCCACCTCTCTAGGAAGCCTGTTCCACTGTGTGACCACCCTCTCAGGAAAGAGAGGCAGTTTCTCATCTATGAGTTTGGAAGGTGCTGAAAATAATGGTTGAAGCATGTCTGTCATGCCCCTCGAGGCACACTGAATGGCAGTGTCTGAGGCTGAAGGAGAAGGGAGCACATGAGGAACATCAATGTACTGTTCAACCTTAACCTGTGTGTTCTGTGCTTCTAGATAACATTTGCACCTCCTCTAGGGAAAACACTAATTCATAAACTGAATATTAGAACTGTTTGCAAGTTGTGGACTGTATTTTATCAGATTCCTCTAGCATTTGTATTGTCTGTCTCTTTAGTTGAATGGTTGTCACCTGCACACAGCTGAAAAATAAAGTAAGGAAAGAAAATTGTGTTTTCTGGGTGGCATATTGAAAGCAAGAATTTTCATGATGCATAAAGAAGTTAGAAAGCAAAGTTTGCAAGTAGCCTTGTGGTGTCAAATGAGAATAATGCACATTTTAAATGTATTTCAAGTAAATTCTTTAAAAATATTTCAAAGACATATTTCTTTTTTATGTTAACATGCTATAACTCAAATATTCACTTAGGGGTAGTCTTTATATGTATTTGACAGTTTCTTTTGATTCCAGGTGATAAAGGCTGTAGTAGTAGCCTGAACTAAAAAGTAATTCAAATGAAGGCTCTAGAATTGCTGTTATAAATGAAATATTTTGAGGGATGGTCTGTTTCTTGTGATTTTTTTTTTGTGTGTGTCATTCAAATTTGCTGTACATTTAGAAAAATTCCAGAAGCAGGTTTTGATGATAATGTATTCTAATTTCTGGTTTAGTAAGCTATTCGTACATTTATTACTTCAGACTGCAGATATATGGGTTACCAGCAGGGAGTCTCAGTGCGTTTTGTATGACTGTTCAAGGACATGATTTTGAAGTCAGAAAAGACTCCATAAGAAAAAGACTCAGTTCCTTCAGACTCCTGTGTGCGACAAATAGAAGCTGGTCAGCTTGCACACTGAAGTGAGCCAGAGTTTAAACCTGACAGTTACAGAATCAGTCTGAAAACTCCTCTTGTTAACTTGTGTAAGTTCATGCCCATCTATGTGGTTGTTGGTGAACACATGAAACTCACACTAGTTCACTTCACTTTATTTTCCTTGAAAATATTCCTCATGACAGTTTGTTAAAACATGTAATACTGTACTTTCTTTTTTTTCATGTTATGGTCACGTTTTGGTTTGGGGTTTTTTTAAAGTTTTATTTTTAAACAAATAGTTTGACTGTTCTGGAATTGGAGATGAATAATAATTTTCTTGGGCTTTTACAGGTTGTTAGGAGTTTATTAGGTTTTAGTTGCAGAAGGAAGTAAAATATTTGTTAGTTCATTAAGTAGTCTGGTATTAAAGTGTTTGGATGAATAACACTAACCTAGAGATTTACGTAAGTAGTTGTTTGAGTGTATTTTTTAACTAGGTTAAACTTTATGCATATATTCTCATATTCTCAGTGCTCCAACTTTACAATATTTCAAGTGATTAGAAGAAAATTGTATTAAAAGACAAACATAGAAATACAATTGTGGACTGCAGTAATTCCTTAAAAGTTTGCATTACAGGTGCGATAATTTCAATTTTAGTTAATTTAAAACTAATTAATTCATATCAACTGGTCACTTTTAGAACATTCATGCAAAACTTTTTCTTGCACAAACTATCTTTTCATTTATGGCTATTATTGCCTAGGACTTTAAATACTCCACAAGTATTCCTGAACAATCAGTCCCTTTTAATTACATGTACTCCTTGCCATTCTAGATAAAGTTCAGATATAGTGTGTGATCAACACTATCTTTGTTTTTCCTATAATTCCTTTACCACATTATTCAGGCTTATTTGGAACATACATTTATGAAGGCAAGAATCTTTCAGTTTATCAGCAATATGTTGAGTAAATCTACAGAACTGCATTAAAGGTGATTGTAACAGAAATGCCAACATTAATGCGTTGCCTAAAAGTGGAAGAAAATTTTGGAAATGGGAAAGACTTTAAAAATTGCTTTTCTCTCTGGAAATACACCTGAGCAGAGTGACCTAATAAAGTACCCTGTTTTAAGACACAACTAACTCTATGTTTATATTGTTCCAAAATATCAGTTGACTTCTATGTTAAAACAAAGAAGGAAGAGGAAGCGGATAATGTTGTTTTTGTTATTTGGATATTTTCTTATCACAAATGTGATAGGTAGTGCTGTATGAATAAGCAAGAGAGGTCAGTGATATTAAATGTTCCAGAACAGGTGTTCTATGTCCCTACTCTCATATATTTTTTCCTTTTAGAAGCAGAGTTGCAGCCAAACTTGAAATTTAGCAGTCATGAACTTCGTGATTTGTCATTGCTGCTAGGGTTGTGGTTGCTTAACAGCTGGTTTACTGTAAAGAATTCCTCTCACAAGTCTTCTCTTTCTCACCCTCTAGTAAGTTAAAATAAAAATACTCTTTAAAAGGTATCTTAGAGAGTATTTACTGCCATCACCAAGTGACCTCTGTAGTAAGTTTTTTAGGGACAACTTCAATGTAGACCTGTCTCTAATTAAATAGATGGAATTATTTCAGTGAAGTAGCTTTAAATCTTCAGAAATTTAGTTCTGAATTTAAGGGAAAATTTAATTCTTAGTCTTTTGTCAAATACGTTTCAAACAAGCAGTTATTCTGTTCTATGGAATATGCACTTAAAATTCTCTTTTAGTCATATACTGTTGCTTAGTAAATATTCTTGTGTCTTAATTAAAGATATTTCTGCCACTTGTGTGAAGTAGAGTCAGTGATGACGACAGAGAGTGTTCAGGAAGTAGAAGTGAACAGATGCTTAAAATCCTTTTATTCAGATTTAAAATTATAAACTATTTGACAAAGTCAGCTTAGCTACCTTTTTAATGAAATGGATGACAGTAAGCTTAATTAAATTTGCAAATATGATTTGTAGTTTCAAGCTTGCAAAATATAGTTAAAGAAGGACAAGTACTTTGTGTAACATAGATGTGTAACTCCTTTAGGATGTCTGTTATGTCCTAGGCACTACTTGTGGCTTTTGAGATTTGATGTGTCTTAGTGAACACT